AGTGTTCAGAACGGGAGCCTGTGGGGGACATTTTCAATTCAAACCACAACTTTCTCCCCCTTGTACATTCTGGTTTCAATGCCATCCCCAGAATCGGATCTTTCACAGTTGATTAAGGAGTGCTGGATCAGTAGTGGACATAGATTAATCTTCCAGCAACGTGATCTAGCCAGGTTAGCAGTTCCAGCACACACAGACTGTCCTGAGCCAGTGATTAACCGAACTGGTCCATTTCCCATCATCAGCCATTGATTGTCCTAACCCCTTGCCATTGAGTCCATGAAGGCTAAGCTTCTCTTTGCAAATTTGGTCCTGCATCCCAGCAGACTGGAGTCCTTCTGGGGTTTCCAATATCTGCAGTGCATCCTTCCTGGCTTTCCTTTTCTTTTCCTGCCTGCCCTTTAATTGTAGACTTTAAGAGAAGGTTTGCAGAGACAGGATGTCACCTTGGGAGGTGGGCAGGTGAATCTACCATATCTGACAGATTTGTTATGCTCTGGCCCTCCTAGGAACATGGAGGTGTGATCCAAGAGCCAGCTGTACATTATATATATGCACGAAATCATCAAAGAATAAATAATAACCAAGAATGGTGGTGCATGCCTATAATTCCAGCATTCCAAAGGATGAAGCAAGAGTGTTTTCAGTTGAAGGCCAACCTGAGCTATATAGTGAGACTCTATCTCAACAAAACAAAGTAAATATGATCTAAAGAACACTGGAACTAAAAAAAGGCTATATAAAAACAATTATTAGTCTACTAAGAATTATGGCTTCCAAATGGAATAAGCCTTGTAAATTAAAGTAGGTCTCAAGCCAAGCAAGTATTGCCTATAATCCCAACCCTTGGTAGGCTGAGGTACATAGATCACTTGAGCCCAGAAGTTCTAGATCAGCCTGGAAAATGTAGGGAGACTCATAGAGAGTGTGGGGGAAAATAAGGAGAGATGGAGAAGGGGAGAAAAAAGAGGAAGATAGGTGGGGGGGTAAGGAATAAAGAGTTGATTTTGAAAACCATTGCTGGGTGGTGGTGGTGGTGGTGCACCCCTTTAATCCCAGCACTCAGAAGACAGAGGCAGACAGATCTCTGAGTTCAAGGCCAGCCTGGGATATACAGAGAAATTGTGCCTAAAAACAAAACAAAAGACAAAAAAACAAACAACAAAAACCCAAAACTGCCATTTCCTAAAAGTAGGTGGTGTAGCCCACCGGTCATCACCACCCAGGGCGGCATCAGGTCGCCCGGGAGGCAGAAAGGGCAAGAGGGAAAGGTGGTAAGAGATGCTCTTAAAATTTGCCTTTATTTTAAACAATCAATTAGCACATATTCATCATGCAAAATCAGTGCCATTATGTAACAGGCCCTGAGACCTTAGCACAACTGACGCCATGTTAGCAGCGCCATTGTGACCTTCCGGCCCAGCACACAAGCCCCTACAACCGTCAAAACGGGAGCCAAGGCCTAGTCCATCAAAGGCCTAGTCCCGAGTTTCAGGGTCCAGCAAAGTCCCTCAGTTCCTAACTAACCTTGTTTTTGGGCATCTGTGGTTTCCCTTCTCACTGTTCTTGCTAACCAAAGTGTGACAAATAGGGTGTGGTTTATGCACAAAAGGCCAAGAACGGTGAGGCTTGGGCCTGCATGATTTGGGTAAGTTCCCCACGCCGCCACCAGCTGGCAACACAGGCTTTCTGTCTGGCTTCACAAGTGCGGGTGTGTTCCTTGGTGGAATTACCTCACAACTGTAACATCTCTGGGATGTCTGCACAGGTGTGTGTGCGTGTGTGACTGTGTGTGTGTGCATGTGCGTGCGTGCGTGCGTGCGTGTGTGTGCGTGTGCGTGTGTGTCCGTGTGTGCAGGCCAGAGGTCAACCTTGACTGTCTTCCTTTATTGTTCTCTATTTTATTTTTTGAGACAAGGTCTCTCACTAAACCTGGAACTTGTTTAATTGGCTGGTCACAACACCCCAGACTCTGGCCTCTGCCTCCGGGGGTTCCACATGCTCATAGCCATGCTTAGCTTTTATGTGAGTCCTGAATGTCTCATCTCCATGCTTACATAGCAAGTACTTTACCCACCGAACCATATCGCTAGCTTCATTTTAATGTATCATTAATACATTCATGCAGATAATATCATATTTTATTCATATCTAGCCCCCAGCACCTCCTCTTGTTCCTCCCCGGAAGATTCCCACTTATGTTTCCGTACCATAGCCATATTTAAATGTATATATTTAAATCTAGACTCCATGTGACAAAACAGGTATGTTTACCTAAGTCCGGCATGTTTTGCTTAACATGATGATCTCTGTTTCTATTCGTTTTCCTGTAGGTGATGTCATCTTGTTCTTTGTGACTGACTGACTCACCCGTACCAGGCGAGGCTAGCGGGCAAGTCTGCTGCAGCTGACTGATTGATTTGCTATCTCTGGCATTCCTAGAAACTTTTTCATCATCCTCAAAAATGCAGTCTCTCTTTTAAGCAAATACAGGAATGGAATTATTAGGGAACAGAATGAGATTTGTAAAGGGTTCTGTTACTGCATGCCTGGCCCATGCATGTCCACTAAGGCTACCCTGTGCAGATGTCGCTGTCTTCTTTGGATGGGCAATGTCCCGCCCCCTCTAAATGACTGCTTCCCTGGGTCTGTATTAGTTATAATCTAGGAAATTCTGCTCACCAGGAACCAAGAACGGTACCTGTAAAGCCAGTATGTGAAGTATTATTTGACCTTTAAGTTAAATCAAACTCTACATGAAATTCAAATACAAACGTAAAATCAACACACGCACATGCACACTCATGCGCACACACACACACAGATTCCTGTACGGAATATTGGTGACTCCTCCAGGCACCCAGTGACACCCATTCAGTGTAGTAAAAAGCCTCACGGAACGGCTTTACAACCAGACTCTAACAGTGTGAGTATCTAAAAATGTTCTTAGGATTGCTTGCAGGTTAAAAATTCTGATGATGGTCAACAAAGCTTTAATCGTGTTAAATTTGCGTTCATGTTGGGAAGACAAGTTATTCTTATTTATTTGTAATTTAAATTACATGTGCAGCAGTTTCTCTTGAAATTATGTTGAAATGTTTACTATTAGTATTTGAGGGGGAATAAAACTTAGTCAACTTGATATTTTAAATCTTTATTGATACCATCTTGATAATGATTTACTCTATTTACACATTCTTCCAAACTATGTCCTTACAATGTGAGGTCAAGTGCTTTTTTGCGATATTAAAACTTGTGAAAGGAAGTCGACTACTTACAAACATCAGTACAATTTTAGTTTCTCAATAAAAAATATTTTCTAATGTAATTAATATTTTCTTCAAAACATTAAATGGAAAGGCCTGCAATTAGTTTTTAAAATAAAAGCCACAAATAATTAAATAATTTCTATGTACATTTCAAATCGCGTATATCAAATTACCAAGAAAGGCATGGAGCCACCTCTGGGGCAAAGAAAGAAAGCTGCAGATGACGTCATTAGACTCACACCTTGGGTCTTCCGGTTTTATTAGTCTTTGCTTGAGAACAGCTGCAGGGAAGAACTCTTTGAACACCAGCCTTTGGAGTCATGTAGGTAATACTGTCATTTTTTAAATATCTTGTAATAATGTGTATTTTGTTAAAAGTTACTCATAGACCCTAAAATACTAGATGATCCAAATGTCACACCAAGGACATTATCTTTATGTATCTTTATATGATGGTCAAATAACTACATATCAGAAATAAAGATACTGCTTAGTAACTACCAGGTAATATATTTTATGATTACGTTTCTACTTGGCTTTTGTAATTTTAGCTAAACTAAACTAATCTATTAATTAGTTTTTTTCTTTTTTTAAAATGAAGCAAGCGTTTAATTTCCCTTTATGTTCAATCCGAAACTTTTTGCACCTCCCTCTCTGCTCTGTTTTGGGTGTTTCTTTTGGGTAGACAAGAATCATGGAAGTCACGGTGAATCCTTTTTAATTTTTACATTAGCTTGGTATTGGAAACCTATGGATAAGATACCCAAAAATAACATGAGGAGTAATTCCTTAAGATAGCATGATTGGTAAGTCCGTTTGAAATCAATACACGTGCAAAAACAACAGAGTTTGGCCTATGGTTTGCTGCTCTGCCTTGCCAGTTTGGGAGGAGGGGTGTGTGGCTGTCAGAGGATAACTTTCGGGCATCAGTCAGCCCTTATCCCCTCGAGATACGGCAGGGTCTCTTCACCTCAGCGTTAGTCAGACTAGACAGCTGACTAGACAGACTAGAGCCATGAGCTTCTGGACATTCTCCTGGCTCTGCCCCTCATATCCCCACAGAGAATGCCGGGATTACGGAAACCTGCACTGAAGGCATAGCTGTTACTTGGATTCTGGGAATCCAAACTCAGGTTATCAGTCTTGCACAGCCAATGAGCCATCTCCCCAGGCCCCTCAACTGCCATTTTGGCTCAGATTTAGCAGCCATTATGAACAGTGGTTGCTCATTCTTTTTTTTTTTTTTTTTTTTTTTTTTTTTTTTTTTTTTGTTTCGAGACAGGGTCTCTCTTCATAGGAAGTATATGGGCACCTTGTTG